ACCAACAACAGGTAGACAAAACCAGTTGAACAATCTTAAATCACCCAAAAACAGGTAGACGAAACCAGTCTAACAACCTCCAATCACCAAACAGGCAGACAAAACCAGTCCAACAACCTTAAATTACCAACAACAGGCAGACTCTGGTATCACTACTGTGCACTTTATTTTGTCCCTGTTTAAAGATAAATAAATTATGGTAATAATATATTAGATGTTAAACAAGTGTTTTTGCCAGCAGTGACACTTTCAGGTCAGACTGGGTTTACAGCCCTTTTCTTTTTCTTATTATTAATCAGAAGTTTGACGAAACTGAACATGTTTGTTGAGTCACAGCTGGAGGAATCATTGTAGACTGAATGAGTCACAGGCTGGGAGGTTATWCAGGTCCAGTACAGGTTGATAAGGTAAATCACTGAACATCCTGTCTGACCTTTATAAAGCATTGAGCGCCGCTCCTGTCCTTCAGTGTAGCTGATGTTGACTCTACTAAACACAGTTCTGAACGGAGGGTTGATGTCGAAAACTACACCGGTCTCTGGCGCTTCGGTGTAGTCCAGGATGTGAGCACTGCGGACAGGAAGTGGCTCTGAAGAGATAAAACAGCACAGTTACCACTTGACACATCAATTATTATTTTACCCAAACTAATTCAAAAAATGTTATGATATTTACAGTTTTTTAACATATTTTTTTTATTTTACATAAATATTTAGATACCATAAATGTCAATTTGTATGACTTGGTAAATTACACAGATTTTACCTCAATTTGCAGGTATACTGACGGTATACTAATGGTAGACGATATACAGACGGTATACAGATGGTATACCTACTGTATACTGTCGGTGTACTGATGGTAGACGATATACAGACAGTATACAGATGGTATACCTACTGTATACTGTCGGTGTACTGATGGTAGACGATATACAGACAGTATACAGATGGTATACCTACTGTATACTGTCGGTGTACTGATGGTAGACGATATACAGACAGTATACAGATGGTATACCTACTGTATACTGTCGGTGTACTGATGGTAGACGATATACAGACAGTATACAGATGGTATACCTACTGTATACTGTCGGTGTACTGATGGTAGAC